AACCCTAACAATGGCGGCCAACTACCTTTTAGCTCGTTTTTACTGTATTTTAACTTGTTTTCAACTGGATTTAGCCTAAAACTAGTAGATCTAACATCATATATCTCTTTTTTAACCAAAAATCAAAAGATTTCAAGTTTTTTTTTGTGATTTTCAATCCGACTTTATCTAAATCCGGCGGTACACCTMCGCCAAACGTGTCTTTGGTGCTTTCGCAGCCTCCGCGGCCGCGGCTGCAAACAAATTTCTGAATTTTTTTTAAATAATTAGAATGGCATTTTCGTAATAAAAATTTTTTGCTAAGGTTTATATGTCTTTTATGACATTTGTTAAGTTTCAACCTTGTGTAAGACTTGTTTTAATAATTATGCTATTTTTCAAAGTTGTTCTAGTAATTTTTCCCTAGAATATTTTAGCCTAATGTTTTTAATTATTCAAGACTATTCTTGAGACCACTATTCTTTAAACATTGTAAATAAGGATGGTGCATACTATGCATTGAAAAGCCAGTTGGATTGGACAAGACAATACAAGATCATTGGAGGAATCTCTAGAGGGATTCTGTATCTTCATCAAGATTCACGACTCACAATCATCCATCGTGATCTCAAAGCGAGTAACATCCTCTTGGATGCTAATATGAACCCAAAAGTTGCAGATTTTGGAATGGCAAGAATTTTTGGAATGGACCAAACGGAAGCCAATACAAAGAGAGTAGTTGGAACCTAGTAAGTTTTCGATTTCCACATATTGCCCCTTTAGACATATATCATGCTTCTATCAGCTCAAGCTTTGTGTTTTGTCACAGTGGCTATATGTCTCCCGAGTATGCGATATATGGCCAATTCTCCACGAAATCAGATGTCTATAGGTTCGGGGTCTTAGTTCTTGAAATTATAAGCGGCAAAGAGAACAACAGTCTCTATCAAATGGATGGTAGTGTTGGCAATCTGGTTACATATGTGAGTATATAAACCCTTATAAATTTCCAACTTTTTTGCTTCATTTTAACATTGATAATCGTTTTAATTATCAAAATGTTCAATAGACTTGGAGATTATGTAGCAATGGGTCGCCATTAGAGCTTGTGGATCCATCCTTTCAAGGGAATTATCAAATAAACGAGATTACCAGATCCATCCATATCGCTTTTCTCTGTGTTCAAGAAGATGCTGAAAATCGTCCAACCATGTTAGCCATCCTCCAGATTCTCACTACTAGTTCAATCGCTCTCGCCGTTCCTCGACCACCTGGATTTTTCTTCAAGAATATACATGAACAAGTAGAAGGAACAGGTCCATCGATGGATTCGTCTGCTCTCTGTTCCATCGATGATGCTTCCATCACTCAGGTAACTCCTCGTTGAAGACGAAACGTTATACAAACACTAATAATCATCTATAAAGAAGCAAAATTTCTCTTCATTTTCTTTACGTGTTTGGCAAGATACTCTTGTTTTTAGTCTGTATGTGAATCCAAGACAAGATTTATTCATGCTCAAGTGAGCTTAATACAAGATATAAAAGAGATATAAATTGAAATATAAAAAAAGGAAAAAGCTTTAAATGAAGAACACCAAGATCAAGTAGATATTAAGATCAATCTCATAAAATGATAAAGGGG